ATAGATAGATAGATAGATAGATAGATAGATAGATAGATAGATAGATAGATAGAGAGAGAGAGAGAAACGTGATCAATATCAACAGAAAATATGTCCAATGGAATGTTGATAATATTCTTGAACGCCAATCCAGAACTGCACAGCATTCTGAGGGATGTTGCTTTAGCTGCTCGATCRTTCATGGCCCAGCTAKGCAAGGCTGGTGGCATCAACTAACTTACTCACACTTTGGTAAGCTAGCTACAACCTGTTGAGTCACATGAGCAGTAGCAGTTGCATTTTTCACCACCGTGCCTCAAAAACGGGGTTCAAAAGATTAAAAAAAGAATGATGTGGAGTGAAAGAAGAAAATCAGTGCAACAGGACGAGAGGAAATTGTGGATAAAAAAGMWAAGGTCASGTCACCAGTTTGGCAGTATTAATCAGCCTTTTTGGTCTTTTTTTCAAATAGGTAAAASAAAAAAACTAAGCAATAACGATCAATATCGATATGAAACATTTCTATTAACCTGATAATTTTTCAGCTATTTTGCCCAGACCTAGCTCACTGCTTGCAGTACTTTCTAWAGCAGTAAATAAAACTATATAAACYTGCATAACTGACCCTCMTTAACATTGTTTAACCAAGTCTATAAAAAAGGCTTATCTTTATGAAGAACTGCAGATGTAACGCACAATAGATWACAGCTTCGGCTCTCAGCACTGCACACTTTGCACTGTGCTTTTGCTATAAATGAGAAGACGTAAATTATGCTGATTGAAAAAAAATGGCATTAAGTTTGTTTCCTTCTCAGCTGTCAGTTCGCATGTGTCCCCTWAAGACAAATATTTTACAGCATCTCGAGTCCTACTGTTTCTGTCAGTCAGACCATCCACCTATCTGCCCGTTCTTTCCCATCTTATTTGACAGTTCCATCAACCTCCTCTTTCACTTCATTTTGCCTTGGCTGAGTTGACAGCTTCTTGGTCTCATGCCGTCGCAGTGTTCTGCTCCGTCATGGCCACTGGAGCGACGCCTGCACTCTCTCAGCCGATGCACAAGACCACCATTCTTTCTCACTCTTTATTTCACCCTCCTCTCTCTTAAAAAGTTTATCTGATTCATTCCTTCACTTGCAGCAGAACTCGTACTCTTCTTCTCTCGCATCCTTCTCCATCCCCGTCTTCTACCACAGCTGACCATCCTGTTTCTTGGCGGGGCTGACAGAAAATGGGGARAGGAAACCTGCCGACAGAAATTATGTGAAGGGCTCTGCTCAGAAAATCTGCCAGCCCATCCCAGAGCATCACCCCCGCCCCCCATACTGCCTCTGCACCTAGACTCTATGCCTTCCTGCAATGATGGCTTCCCCAGAGAACTGGAGAAGCCCCAAACTAACAGCTCATGACTCCTACAACACAAGAGATGAGCGCGCAGCCAGACATCGTCGTTTAAATTATAAATCGACTCGCTACATAAATCCATTTGATTATTGTGATAAGAAAAATTGGAAGGAGACAAGTAGCCAAGCATTTCCTACATCTTAAAACAGCAGACAAACAGAATCTGAGGTTGTAGCACTGCGTTCGCCAAATCACGCTTTCTGGGAAAGAAGCCCATTTATACCTTATACTTGGTAACCTCTGTTGGTTAAAAAAACACCACAGTACTGCACAGCAGAGAGCAAAATCCTTACAAGTAGGTCATGTGGGGGTGGGGATAGATGGGGGTGCAGCCCATCTGGAGCAGTGCATTCTGAGTAGTTGACTGCAGATGAAGGCAGGAACCATGATGAGAGAGCTGTATTTAAAACAATCCTTCCCTGCATCTCTTTATTTAACCCATTATTTCTCTCATYAACTGTGACTTCTCATACCTTAAAACATCATTGGTATGATCTGTTAACACAAACACAAACAGTCTGAGGCATATAGGAACAAAAACAAAACACGCAACACAATACCTGTGCAGACTTCTRTGTAAGTCGGGTTAGATGTAACGCCTCCAGCATAGCCCACCTGTGTGGAGAAAACTCCTGGAAGTCGCCAGAAGAGTCTCTCAGCTCCCCAAAAACAGCCCATTCCTGGGCACAAGAAGGGAAACAGATGCACATTTTTTTAACTGTTAATTGTCAAAATGACATTCTAATGTGTTTTACAAAACCACAAACTGGCAATGGCGTATTTTTATTTGATTTTTCTAGTCTAGAAATAAGTGTGATTGTGCTATCTCACCAAACATGATGGTTTCCATGCCTTCTGGAAAGGGCTCCACAGTGGGATTCCCATTGACTGCATGCTTGTCTGTGAATGAAAACAGTGAGAAAATGTGCTAAAAYATCACAACACTGGAACACAATGATACAAGTTACAGTGAGTAAAGAGTCCCATGAGTTGCTTGAGGTCAGGCTCACAGGTCCTTATTTTATTAGATGCTGACCCAGGCCAATGGATCAGAGCCAGAGGCCTCTGCGTCGGGAGACATTTAGTGGATTACACAGCTTCAGCTGCCACTCTGACTTTCTTCCTCTCCTCAACACCCACAATTAAACCCATTGAACTAAAGTAGTTCATTTTTGTCTCTTACTACAATCAAGTCTTTATGGAGATCAAGTTGTCACAACAAGGTGTCTACAATGATAACTAGCAAAACTTCCGTAGCATGAGACTGTATTATGTGACATGCAGGGGAGAGCCTTACAAGTTCACGCAGTGCTCTCCTAATCTTCATCATGATAAAAATATCCAATAAGTAAACCTAAATGGAGAGATGTGGCACTCTACTGCCAACTGTGCTGAGTGGAATTAGAGCGCTAAAGAGGAAGTGTGTGCGTATGTGCGTGTCACTCAGATATGTCATTAGGATTAGGTTTTAAGAAGACTGAGGTGACTTAGCGTGCAAATCTCCACTAAGCAAGGCTGGTTTGTACTGCAACCACTAATATTTGTCTACAGATAAACAGGCAACAGAAGCTTCGGCACAAATCAAAGATGGACGCTTGCACCAAGTTCAGCTAGGGTCATTGCTTACTAGCTGCGAAGATGTGTTGGGTGTGACKCTGACCTGAAACCAATCTCTAATCTGATACAGACAAAACCGCTCTACTCATATATAGGCCTTGAGATTATCTTTAACTATGACAATAGACTAAAAACCAACGYTTACATGCAGTTTAAAGCAAAACCATACAAAAGAACCAGGGGTGTCCAGTTTTTCTTAAACCGAGTAGGAGTAATTGGGCACTCGCCTATACCYAGTAATACAGAGTGTTTACCGAGTTAGAACTTAAACATTACATAATGAGTTTAAAAACACATTTCTTTTATTTACAACAATGTGTCTTTCATTCCCCAAAGGCCTGCAGCGCCTCTGACTGTATCAAATCAAATATACAGCATGATATATGCTGTTGCAACATTTTAAAATAAAGAAAAATAACAAATAAWTTTTTTTCAACTTGTATAAATGTTTTAAACACAAAACTGAAAAACTTTTCACTTGAAATGTAAACTGTAACACATTCAGTGGTATTGGTCTRAAGTATKAGGGTATTTTGTACAAGTATGAGTACTTGAAAAAATACTGGTATCAGACCTGATCCCAGTATCGAGAARACATGTTTGTACCAGGAAAAAATAAACTTAAAAATAAAGTCTTTTGGAGGAAAAATAAAGTCTAAAAGCTCTGAAAGGCTTCAGCTGATAACAACAGGATGTTTTTGATATTTGACAAAATTGTTTGGTTTTTATGTGCAGTAACAGATTGCAGAAGCATAAAGGACTAAAATGTCACAGAGGCCTGGCTGCCCTCAGGCTGTAGCTTCCTGCCCTCCTGTTGTGCCACAGTTCTGTCTTTTAGCAGCAGGTTGTTTGGCACTGCCAGGTCATGTTCGCAGGCACAGTTAGCTGCAATCAAAGTACCTCCGTGTGAGTGACTGGCTACATTTTTCTCTGTCCGGTTGGGGGACCTAAAATGAAAGCAGGACAGAGGAAATCTTTAGATTTCTTCTGTGAACTTGTATTGTCTTTAGCCTTGGCTTACTCTCCCCTTTTCTCCTGTTTCTGGACAGCAGAATAAAAGACACAAACACTGCCAAATGAGAAGGAAAAAAAGAGCGAGAGGAGACAAGTGCGAGATATAAGAGGAGGAGTAGGAGGAAGAGAGATCAGCCTGCCAAAAACAGTGAAAGGAGGAAATAGCCAGTGAGAAGCAACAGATGATGGTACCAGAGAGCCAGTCAAGAGTTTTTTGGCTTTCAGACCACCATGCCTTCAGGCGCTATACAAGAAAGACTAAGCACTTCATCTGAGTGAGAAAACAAACACATAAACAAGTAAATAAACAAAGAAGAAGTTAAAAGGAAGTTAGCCAAGAACCTGTCGACAAGTCCCAAGAAGCCAACTCGCAGCCAGAACTCTCCGCCCTCTCGTCTAAGATGCACTTTATCTTTACTTCACACTTTCTCTTTCTCACACCACCTTTCCATCATCCCTCGCTTTGCTCTAAATGCACGACTGTGTGCGTGTACACAATCTACCTTAATCGTTCACACACCAACCTCTGTAGTGGGCACTTCTCCTGGGGAGCTTCTGGCTGAGGTTCAGATGGTACTAGGCTAGCCCTTTTCTCTGTGCCTAGTCTGACACCCCCCGCCCCCTTCCTACCAGGCGAGCACCAACCACCCATTCTACCAGAAATACCCCATTTTACACAGAGAAGAGCTGGCTGAAAACCCTCACGTCTTACTATGCCAGCAAGAAGACAGGACAACAAAAATGTGCGGATAGAGGGACTGACTGAGCTTAAAAAGAAGAAAACAGGCTAAATATGTGGGAAGGATTCATGAGATTATTTTCCCAGCATGGATGAGATATGGGCGGAATTTCTTTTGTTTGTCGTTCTTTTTGAGGATATCTGGAAAGCGCAGTTTACAAAATACTTGAGTCACTCATTTCTTTCAGCACTGCAGCTGTAAGTGGCTGAACCAGAATGAAAACACTGGACCTCCAGCCCCACTCTTCTGCTTCAAACAAAGTCAATACCAGCCAAAGGCACAACAATCTGTTGSATAGTGTATAGTAAAGTCCAGCTTGACTTATATTGATGGGGTTTTTCGCCTTTGTTACCCTTTAGTTCTGCTTGTGGTCCTTTGTTTCTCTCATACAACTGAGGTCCCAGTGCTGCTSCTTCCTCACCCAAAAACAAGAGGTAACAACCCTGGATGTCAAAACGGATGATGTTGGGTCAATTTCCAGACTGCTTTGTTTATTTTGTTCCAAAAAAAATCCTCTCTTCCCTCCCTCTTGCRGTTCCTCTTTCTAGCTTCACACAGATTGGCAATGAGTCAGACACGAGTCGTCGAAGGAGGCTGATGCTTTATACTGGTGCCAACTACCCTCTGCTGAATGAGATGAAGGGTAGCGGCAAGGAAGAGTGGGGTAAAGGAGGGGAGGTAAAGGAGGGGAGGTGAGGGAAAAGGCAAGACTAGGGGGAGGTGGTCCATCTTTAAAACCAGTAAAAGGTAAGTAAGGAAACCTACCATTGTAGCCTTGAACTGTTAACCCAACTTTCTGATTCTCTCTCACACAAACATACTGTCCAGGATGGGAAAAATCCAGACTCAGAGAAGCACAACTTTCAACCCAGTTATACATCCCATACATGCAGTACTTTGGAGAATGGTACCTACTCTAACATCATCTCCATTATCTCCACAGAGCAACAAGGTGGTATATCTTGTTAGTAGGGGTGAGTAAAATAATCAGTTCACTAATGCATTGTAACTAAATTTTTTGCAATTCAATATTGATTCAGAAAATCCACTGAATCGATTCAAGCCCATGGCCAGATTGCTCTTTGGTCAGGAAAAGTCCAGAACTACTTTGTTTCTGTCTGGTCGGTGATAATAGCAGGARGCATCATGTGCATTGGTCAAAACAAAACCTTAGGAACAGAGACAAAATGGATCATGTAAACTCCAGTTAAAGTGACCAGAAAACAAGGAAACTGTGAACTTGTTGTCTGACAACAGTCAGGGAGGTGGAGGCAGGGTTTGGGACAAAATGCTAAAAAAGAGTTGAACAGGTCGACATGTGTAAAGTTAAACTAGTGTTGCGCTAACATATCAGCCACCACAGGAGCGCACACAGCCTGTTTCGCTCATTTGTTTCAGTTCTTGAATAAAACTATTAACACAGAAAGACAAATTTGTATGACCACGACTACAGCCAAGGGGTGTCTATGTTTACGCTTTACATCTTTGTTTCCTCCTATTTTCAGAAAGTCATAGTTAAAGTAAAAATCTGCCATTTTCGATTCTACACAGGATTTTAGTTAAATAAAATGAGGTGATGATACATGTTCTGCAATACCTCAAGGCTGCTGGATTTATCACAGAGAGAATGTTAATGATGACACAACTACTTTGTGTTGAGTTTAAAAAAATGAGATAGCCACAAAAAGAATCAAACTATGAAGGCCTGTAAGGGCTATGTTGGAATACATACATATGATTACCTGCCCTTGCAATACAATTCARTTGCCACAGGCTCTGATATATGAAATCAAATACCCCACTGCCCCATTCATTTTGTGTCATTTGAAGAGATTTTTTTTCTTAAAGTTGCATTAGCTGGGTTTTGAACCCTGATRTCCCACATGAAAGTCCATGACATAGACCAGTGTTTCCCAAAGTTGGGGTCGGGACCCAAAGTGGGGTCCCGAAACATCAAAGTGGGGTCCTGAAAAGATTTTCTGAATTAATTACATTTTTGCCTTAGTTGTTACAAAGGAGTGAGGTTAGTGTATTTAAAATGTATAAATGTAGTATAAAATATATTGTTACTATGCCCATGTTTAGTTGACCTGATACAAATGTTTATCATCCAAAAATAGTTGGGAGCACAGGTCTCTGCTACTGTTATTTTATGGGTCAAAAGCTAAAAAGTTTTGGAACCAGTGCACTTTGGTTCCCAAAGTTGGACTTGGGACCCAATTATGGGTCATGAAGCACCTTGGATAATATCCAGAAATCAATTTAAAGGATAATAAAATAATTGCTGATGTAATATTTTCCCTATATTTATTACAAAAACACAAAATAAGTAAAAATAAGTATTTATATGTGTGTACAAGCTGTTTAGGTTGTAAAAAAGCCTGTGTTTTTAGGGTTATTAACGAAGTTCATGTACTCAGACCAGTAATATTTGGGGTCACAAGTTTTTGCCATGGATATTTTGTGGGTCAGAAGATAAAAAGTTTGGGAACCACTGAATATGACCATTAGACCAATGGAGTTGTAGCCATTCTGTCTCATTTAAAGTATGGATTTTTTGCACAAATTCTCACAGATTGGCAAGAGGAAAATATGTTGTGATTTCATTCTTATCACTACAAAAAAGTTACAAGCTCAGGATTTTTCTTTTATGTTAAGCTTCGAGTTTGTCAGGTTTTGTTTTCACTCCATATTTAGAACAAGTATTATTGTGTTTTATTTACATATATTTTATTTTTGTTATTTATGTTAATATATACCATTTGTTTAAATGGGTAAGAAAATAAATATCTAAAAATTATCCACAGGGAGTCTAATGAATTATTTTGTACTTCTTATAAATAGGAAATTTATATCAAAGCATTTAAAGCAATATTGAATAAAATTGCAATCTAATAGAATTGTTACCTAAAGAATTGTAATTTCATTTAATTTAGAGGTTAACAATACCCAGCCTTACTTGTTAGGGCCTGATTAAAATATTTGACAAGTTGGTCTGATATGAAAAAGGGGCAACAATTAGCTGGAAAATTGAACAAATTGCTCTACTTCTTAAGATACCAATGGTGAAAATTGCAATGACATTATCAGTAGAAAAAAAAACCATTTCCACATCCTGATTCTCAGAACACTTTCCAAGTGTTTTAGCAACTCAACCATTATCATACAATTGGGCATGGTCATCAAGGGCAGTAAGAACCAAATACATGGGCCAAATATATTATTGGCATACAGAAAATGAATACATGACACTTGAATAACAGCACATGATTTATTGCAGTCTAAGCAGTTCTTTGCATTGATTTTAAACTGACTGATATTACAGTGACAATAAAAATTTGATATACTGTGCGGCCTTGGTGTGCATTTAACTATTGTTAATACAGTGAACCCAAATAATCCCCTGTCTATCACAAAACCACAAGAGATGAATAATCMGAAAAGTAGTAAATCTAAAAATCAAAAACCTATTTTTTCTCAATTATTCTAATGCAGATCCTGCTTTTCAGCAACATCTTCTAAATCAGGGGTGTCCAATCCTGGTCCTTGATAGTGGCTCACTATCCTGCAGGTTTTAGACGTTTCTCTATTGCATAGGATTGGGCAAGATTGTATATTGTCCAATTAATCYTCAGAAAAACTGTCAACAATTAATACTTGCCACTTCGCTATTAGTGCCATATGATGATGTATTTTTGTGAGCGACACACTCTCTTCATCATGCATACATGTGAGCCTGTGGCATACTGCATTACTTAAGATATGCTGCCACTCAACATTGTGGAAAAGGTGGGTTTCAATTCACAGTTTACTAAGCTGTTAAAATAATGAAGTTAGTTTGACTGATGATTTGTAAGTACAATTTCAGAACATAGGGTAACTGATTTAGAGTCAAAAGCATGCAAGTGTAAGTGTCCTCTAGTAATCYTCATATTCATCATCAGGTAAATGCCACAATTAATCGTGATTAATTTTTCTGCGAATATTGCCCAACCCCAACTGCAACATACATGATTTTAATGAATGAGTGATTAACAGGCTTCTGCAGGACATTAAGAGGCAATTCAGTTACTGAACCAGGTGTGTTTAAGCAGAGAAATACGTAAAATATGCAGAATACCAGACCAGGATTWGACATCCCTGTTCTAAATCCTAAAGATTTCTTCTGCATGTTTTCCTAAAAATTATTTAAATTTGAAAAGGTCAACAGCCAGTGTAAAGGATAATAAAAAACAACAACACAGCAACATAGGTGTACGAAAACACAATGTTTCAGATTAGTATATTTGTTAATTGTTGTGCTGCAACGCTGCTTCACTTAATTTTTTTATATTGTTGCCTAATGTGCCTGCTCACTAAGTTATATCATTTTTCTTTCCCTTTAAACTTTCACAAAAACCAAACAGCAAGGGCATTCTGAGATATCAGAAAAACAGAGAAATAGTGTAAGCTGTATATCTCGGCTATCAATCTGCTTTTAAGAGTTACAGCAAAACATGTAACAGAAATTGATTTCAGTCAGCTGACCTCCCCCATCCTGTTTAGAAGAAATATTGGCAGTCCATCCTGCACTGACTCAAAATAATAGCTACTGTGCCCCTACCATGTAGCAATCTGCCACTGGATCATTCTCGCCAAGGTCATAGAGTACATCACAGAGACCAGAGCGAGGGAGGGCCCATGGCACAACAGAGAACAGAACAAGGAACCAGGAGCTTCTTCAAAAGGGGCTGGAGGGTTAAAAGCAACTTTTAAAGTGAGTAATCCTCATCATACAGTGGAGCTATAAAAATGTGTAGTCAGACACACAAGACTGGGACTGCACAGGGCACATGTGAAGATGGTCTTTGCAATCCTTGAATCACTCATGCTTAAAGGGCCACACCGGAAAACACACACTGGAAGAAAAAAAACATCCCTATCTAAACTGTGTCCCCCACGGTGAAAGAGGGGAACAGATTTCTGCCATGCCGTGTCTCCGAGCTGCTTCGACAGACGGAGTGGGAACTTACGATGGGGCGGAGCCTTCATGCGCATAATGCCCAGATGGGCCCCTGGATGCTGCGGTAGTTCTTCCTCCTATGCACCAGCTCCCACAATGCATTTTGTGGATGCTAATATCTGAGTGGGTGATGAGTGGGAGCACCAGGTTCATATTGCACAATGGTTCTCATTTACAGCACGCTGGCTCTCCTGTCCCTCAACACAAACCTGAACAGGTGAGAGTCCAATCACATGAAAGGGAGACACTTGACTSGTCACGTAATGGAATAAAACAAGCACAACTGAAGCATCACATCTGTAAATGGAGCAAGTAACAGAGCAGGGATTTTAATCCATACAGGTTTAAGACGTCCCGATTTAATCAACAACTATTAAATGGAGCTGCACTACATATCCCAGCAGGCTCTTGCTGCCGCTGCAGATTTTGGAGAKAACTCAAAAAATTTCATTACTGTCCACAAATTAAATCACTTAAAATACTCAATAAAGTTAAAAGATATRACTGCAAACGTTCTCTTGGCAATTCCGCTTCCAGAGTGCACGTTTACACTACCGTGAACAAAAATCCTATGAAATTACCGTGTGAAATTATTCTGATGAGAATTGGAGTATTACTAAATTTTAGTCACACTCTGAAAGTCTATTARATTCTAACACAGTAAGGTGAGTAATGTGATAACTTCAAACCCAGCTTCATTCTGCTGGATGTTCCTTCAGAGCCAGAGTTGTCTATTATATGTCACACTGATTGATTTTTTTATGAAGTCAATCCCTATATAAAGGCTGGAGATTAAGTCTCTTAAGGTTATTTGTAATGTTATTTTTGCTGATATATGTCAAAACTGGAAACCCACTGGTTAGTGTCATGTAACCAGATGATACATTTGCACAAGAATGCAAACAACCAAAACAATCCTCCAAACCAAGCTTTGGTTTTTTATCACTGTAAATAAGTATATAAATTTGAATATTAAGTTTTGTTTCAGAAAATAAATATTTCAATCACCAATTACTGGGACATATTATGCATTTGGGTGAGTCTCACATACTGTATATCAGTTTTATTCAAAGCTAAGAAGCAGTTTATCATTAAAAACTCTTGTACATTCTGAGAAACTGTCTTTACAATCTGTTGAGCTGACAGTGGTTCTACAAGCCAGGGAAGCAAGATAATCAGACTGGGTCATTTAGAAAAAAWATATATATTTTTTTATTTATTCTATTAAAATTGCCATAACATCCTATTGCTCAACTAATTTTAATATGGTTGGGTTTGTTTTCTTTTTTAGCTACATGCAATAAAATGAGTTTTAATGCAATTTGGGAACTTTGACTGATTGTCACATATCTTTATTTACAAAAATCCTTTTGCAAACATGGCATCAAACATCAAACCAGGAAACAATAACAGAAGTTTCCTGAAATTTAGCACTTTTGGGGTTGACAACAACAGCTTCAAACTGTTGCAATATTTCAGTCTTAGTTTATTAAGATTAAATTAAAATAATTTTATCTAGAGGCCAATTATATTCTTCGGCAGAAAAGCTGACAGGTTGAGCGCATTAGCTCTTCAAGTTATACTTCCTTTTTTTTTCCTCCTAACTTTTTTTCAGGTATAAAACATTTAAACAAATAATTATATGAAATATAGCAATATAACTTTAATTTACGGTCAGCTGTAACAGTAGAAATAGTGTTGTTCTCCTCGGCTGTAATTAACAGTGAACTTGGCAGGTGACGCCCATCAGCTGGAGCGCCTCCCAAACTTTGTGTCGTAGTTATTTTTACCTGCCACGACCATTTTCTCCTGTCTTCCCTCCAGAGCTTGCTCTCTGCTCGTCACCTGAGTATTTTCTGCCATGGTGGTTTCAGCGACAGCGAACAGGTAAGTTAGTAGCAGGTGGACGCGCGTGACAACTTTAGAACGGCYGCTACTTCCGGGATGCCTCCGTAACGCCGCGTGCTGTTACGTTACAGGAAGTAGAGAGAGCGGTGGGAGGAGAGATGGAAAACAAAACATGGCATAGATATGAATATTCATCGCACGCGTGTAACGTCGTGCGATGAATATTAACTAGTCAAAGGGTTAATATGACTTTGGCACAAAAGCCTGCAGAGCACCGTGTCTGGGAACGAAATTAAATTTAAATAAATATCCACTGCATTCAGCATGCAAATGAGCACTCACTAATTATCATTTATTCTGTGGGTGGCACTTCTGTTGGACCAGGTTGGAATATGGATCTATGGATGGTTATTTTCGTAATATATTTATAAATTATTTAGCAATTTATTTATTTATTTTTTACATTAGGGAATACCTACTTCAAAATGAAAAAAAAAATAGTATATTCTTATTGTTTTAAAGCTATACCATTTGATGTTGCTTAATTCTTTATCACCCAWTGAACACAATAAGAAAGCTAATAGCTTCTACAGTCCTAAAGTATTGTTTCCCTCATACGCTGTTGTTTACTCCACACAAGTCAAAGTTTTCCCTGTGCCACTTTTCAAAACTGACAACTATAACATTCCTATTTAAAATTATATGTTGCAAAKTGTCAGTAAAATCTTGCAACAGTCATTCTGAGGTGAATTATGTAAGTCACTTTTATGATTTCAGGAGATCTCCTTCCAGGCATTTA